TTCCTAATCAGTCAACATTATACAGTTATAAGGTTTTTTTTTTTTGTAATTGTCTATATCACCAAATAATAAAAGTAAAAGTAAATAATACTCAATGTTTCAAAGACCTTAGTAAGTGACATAGAGAATAAAAATTTGTTTTTTTCAATGAATATGGTAATTTTGTTTTACAAAAACAAATATATTAGTAGTCTACTATAACAGGTCTAGCTCTAATTGAAGACCACTCCAAGTAAAGATCACCTCCAACTAAAGACCACTTTTCTGTGGTCCCAATTTAACAGATGTCTTTTTCCTTCTTTATTCTAATTATAAACCAAATCTGCTAAAGACCACGGAAACCCTGGTCCCAAAAGTGGTTTTCATTGGAGAAAGACCTGTATAAATCCTAGAGAGGAGATTTTTGTCAACAAAGGTCTTTGTGACTCAAATGTCCCACACTAATAGAACTATGTAATCTGGGATAAGTTTGGTAATCCAAGTAAGGTCCTAGTGACCGAAATACCACACCCAAACAGAACTGTTTCCTTCAGGACCGTAGGGATGTAAATCCACAGATATCCTAGTGACCTGAATATCTATCCAAACAGAACTATGTCTACTGGAAGAGGGATGTTAATCTAAGGACTTTTAACTGTACCTTAAAAGTCCTTGGTTAATCACTAAGTTCCTAGTGACCCAAATATCTCACCCTAACAGAACTGTGTTTCCTTAAGTAGAGATGTTAGTCCGTGACAAAACTCCTAATGATCCAAATATTCTACTCTAATAAAATTATGTCTCTTGAGATAGAGATGTTAATCCACTAAGGTCTGAGTGATCTAAATATCCCACACAAACAGGTGCATTCAGAGGTAGGGATGGTAGTTCACTAATGTTTTATTAACCCGAAAATCCCACCCTAATAAAATAATGTCTCTTTGGATAAAAATGTTAATCCACTTAGCTTTTAGGTTGACACAAATATCTCATCCTAACAGAACTGGGATAGGGATGTTAATCAACAAATGTCTTAATGACCCAAATATTTCACCCTTTCTGTCTTCTGAAATAGACATGTTAATCCACAAGTATCTTAGTAATTCCAGTGTCTTACAGTAACAGAACGATGTTTCCTGGGGTAGGAATGTTACTCTACTAATATCCTAGTGACCCAAATATCCTACCCTAACAGAACTATGTTACTGGGAAGGGATGTTAATCTACTAATATTCTAGTGACCCAAATATACTACCCTAACAGAACTGTGTTTCTGGGTAGGGATGTAAATCCATGTGGATTTCTAAGTGACTGATTGTTTTTATTCCATCGAGGTTTAAGGTTTCTATATTTCCTGTCTGACATAATCTTTCATAAATCATCAATCAGTTTTACAGTCTATCTAGTATATCATAAGAATCATGTGTCTTTCTGTATTTTGTTTGCCTGTTCAATTTCAAAGTGTGATATTCAGTTACTCATCATAAAAAGTGGAAGCATATGCCACATGGAAGCATGTGGGATTTGAGCTCCCAGTCAAAGGATTGGGGATTTTTAGGCCGCCCTCTTGAATATGTCTTGGGGGTAAAGTACTTTATCGGGGTTGTCTGTCTCCACCATAGCAAGTGTGATATTCAATTACTCATCTTAAAGAGTTGAAGTATATGCCACATGGAAGCATGTCGGATTTGAGCTCCCAGTCAAAGGAATGGGGATTTTGAGACCGCCCTCTTGAATAGGTCTTGGGGTAAAGTACTTTATCGGTGTTGTCTGTCTCCACATTATCAAAGTTTAGTATTAAATTAATCATTCTAAAGTGTTGAAGCATATGCCACATGAAAGCATGTGGGATTTGAGCTCTCAGTCAAAGAAGGATTTGGAGGCTGCCCCCTCCCACGCTGCATGAGTCGTGGGGGTAAAGCAGTTTATAGGTGTTGTCTGTCTCCACCCAGAAGTATATAAGTACTAGGTACCTGGTAACTTTGAATGTAATTACTAGGGTGCAACATTATGGAATACTCCCCCAGGGAGCTGAGTATGTGTTTAATATGATTTGATCCAATGACTGGGGTAATGATGTTAAATATATTGAGGCCTTGAAAATGTGCTGCTATGAAAGATTGACATTTTTGCATTAGGTTAGTCACGCAATGAAATACTATGTTCTTGATTGATTTTTTTTTTAAATTTTCAAACAGATTGATGGATAGTTTTCAAATTTCCTCAAAGCATCAAGTTCACTAAATGATTCTAACATATTCTTTATGATTGTTATATAAACATTGACACTGTTCTGTATTTGATTTTCTGTTCTTCAATAATGAATATGTCATACATATATATATATATATGGACAATTTTAAAATGGATCATGCGATAACATATGGTACCAGTACCTACCCCACTTGCAGTATGCTACACAAAGTCATTGTTACACATGCTTCTATTTAGAGCCCTGATGGCTCATGAGAGTTTATTTTAGTGTTGAGTGATTGATACATTAATATTGACTGCTTCACAACAGATAAAACATTAGTTACTCAGGTGGAATTGGTTTCAAATATGACCTTCTTTACTACACTGAGGAGGATGTAAATTTACTTGGCATTTTAGGACTGATGTGGGAGTTGGTTTCTTGTCTTTTTCTGTGGTGAAAACATACCAAATGATTACAAGGGTAGAACACTACAGTATATTACCACTCTGAATATGGTGTGTAAAAGTTACCACGCTTCCCAAAATTTAACAAAGTACATTGCTTTCCTCTGATTGTCTTTGAGCACATGATTTTGGCTACAGCTTTACATTCTGGGGTATCAGTGAGTGGGTGTTGTGAAACTGACATTTATTTCAAAGTGCAGATCAAACAAATTAAAGATTGTTGACACCATGAACAATTCTGCAGTGTTATGTGGATGGTAACCTCTTAAAAGAAAGTACAGGGAATGCCTAAATCCTTGGCCAGACTATCAAATTTTATTTGGCAAAAACATGTGACATGCCTAAATATGGCCATGATGACATCACACCATGACCATGTATAGGCACATCATGACTATGAATAGGCATACAACAGTTTTTCGCCAAAGAAAATTAGATAACCTGGACAGAGCTTCAGAAGACAAGATGAATAGATAAGAATAGGTACAGTCGATGTTAGGATTTTGGAACAGCAGAATGACAACATGTATTGAGATTGTTACTATGGAATCAAGAGTGTTTCTATGATCTCATGGCTGGCCATCGGGTTATGGAACCGATGATGATGAATTTTGTGATTCAGTCATTAAACAATAGCATAATTTGACTAGGCAAAGTACAGTTTTTATTGAATAATGATATGTAAGCAGAATTATCATTGCCAGGACCATGATAATTTTATACGTAAATTATTAACTTGCATAAAATTAACAAGTTAAGCTTTTTGAATTAGGTTTAAAACTGTAAATTGATGCTTGTTTGATTTCCTTTCCTGACAAGTTTTCATGACTCATCACAGATTGACAAAGCATATTCCACATTGCCATACCGAAAATTGCAAATCAAATTCTCTGACAACAGAGAAATTATCTTGTATTTCATTAATAGTATTGACATGAATAAATGTGGCAAAGACAAGCCAAACCAGTCACTTGTCGCAAAAATCGATTTTGAGTTATTAATACAGTGTTAGAGAGTAAAATAATAGCTATAAAATGGTAAAAAAATCATTCAAATCGGACATTTCGTTATGAA